TGGAGGAAAGAGTGTGGCATTTTAGAAGACGTGAAAAAAAAATCTGTATCTGGCATGTTCCTTGAAAGAGTATAATGAGAGTTGAAGCTGCAGCTACGTATTGAATACTTGTAGCTGTGAAAGCCATGGTAAAAGTTTGAGATTTTATCCTAAAAACAATAGGAAGCCATTGCTGTGTGATAACATCACTATGCATTGTAACTCCAGCTACCATGCAGAGAGTGAAGAGAAGGGAAGCGGTGGGGGGGGGGGATATATTCGGGAAACCAGGTAAGTGGTATTACAGTTCTCTGGGTACAAGGTATCGGTTGGTGTCTTAGATTGTTAACGAAAGTTCCTGTGCCCGATGCGCAGTGAGGCCAAACAAACTGAAACATCGGGGCCATGCAAGGAGATGAGGAGGCTCACGCCCTAAAAAGCCCGGAGCTCCCGGAAGGTCGGCAAAGCACTTTTAAAAGCCAGGGTGGCAGGGGGAGCCTCAGGGTATGTGATCAGCTTATCAATTCTCTGATTGTCTGATGGTGAGGTAGCAGGGTGGTGTCACAGGGGTTAACATTATCAGTCCTTGGGCTCCAGGAGGCCTGGGGCTATGTGCTCAAGGTTAGCATCTTCCATTTGTTGGAGAGGGTTTTTTTTTACATCTGCAAAACAACTCAGGAAATGTGCATCAAATCCCCTATTATCTAGGTACTTCAGAGAGGAGCAAAGCAGAGGATCTGGGGGAAGGCCTTGTCCTGGGAAGGGAAGGCCCCATGGGGTTCTGCTTGGTTATGAGATTAGGATGGTGGTTGTAGGAATGGACGAATTCAGCAGGGCTTGTTGATGGGTTGGAACTGAGATGTGGTAGAGTAGTGAAGTAACCAAGCTGACATGCTCAACTGGATGGATGATGAAATGGGAATACTAGAAGAGGTGCAAGTTTCAGGGTCGGGGAGTAAGACTAATTTTGTTAATATAGTTGGAATGATCTAACAGGGGAGCAAGGCTGCTTTGTGCAGTAGTGAGTTCTCCTCTATTGGAATTATCAGAGTTGGACTAGAGATCTTTCAGTTAAGTGTCCAGTGTTCTTGCTCTGAAATAAGTTGTGGACTAAGTAACTAAGTTCCCATTCAGCCCTTATGGTCTACCACAAGCAAGTGACATTTCTGCCAGAATTTGGCCCCCCAAACAGCTCAGGGCTGAAATAAAACCCTCTTCGCCTGGAATTTGAATTACTCAGAATCACCTATACCAGGTTAATAATTAAAGGTTCCTCATAACTGTCTCCGTTTGTTTGTTTCACCTGTGTGCGGGATTCTGGTTTCATAAAATCCTCCCAGCAGTATTATTTAATCTAGTGTTGAAAAAGGTGTATATATTCCGCCAACCCAAGGGCAAGTCTCTGCTAGCCCAGGAGAAAGTGGGAGGCTGCAGACGCCACAGAAAGTGACTCTGCCCAAAGCCAAAACAGAGGAGAGGGCTCCTACAAAGTTAATCTTTTTATATTATCTCACACCTTATCCAACCATCTAGCCCTGTGCCCTCAGGGTCCCACAGCCATTGGGTGGTTAATTTATCCTCCAGTCCCAGGGAGGGGGTGGGATGAGAGGATGATAATTTTTAAATATAAAATGAAAAACAGAAAAGTACAGAAAGGGAGGAAACGGAGAGAAGACAAGAGAGTAATACAAGAAAAGCTGTATTTTGTGCCAGGGCTGCCACCTCAGTCCCCTGGGAAGCAGTAAGGACTTGCCTAGAGGTCCCTTATCGACTCTCCGATTAAATGCCCTAGGAGAGGTCCACGGGATTTGTTTGACTGCTTTATTCCCACCCTGATTCTTCTCCAGGTATTACCTTGTGCACCTGCTCTAACACACACCAGGCCCTTCCTGAGACTCGCTCTGTCGCTGCCGTTCCCCTCCCAGGGTAAGCATTCCGCCTTCTTTTTCTTCTCCTTCTTCAAATCTCAGCACAAAACTTTCTGGGCCTCATTCGCATCTTCCTGACTTTCCTCATCTCTGAAATGGGAATAATAAAAATGATGGTGGGAATAACAGCAAAACCTACGTATTACGATTGCTATGAGGATTAAACTATATATACTTGAAAATCTGTTGGAAACCGCAGAAGACTATACAATTTGACGTTGCTTTTTAATGGCCTTTATTTCTCACGTAGATTTCCGTGGCTAGAAAGAGGGGGTGCTAGGGTGCTGGGGCGCTTGTCTCTCAGTGAGATCAATGCAAGACGTTGCCAAGTGTTTCAGAAGAAAACGCCACTCTACTTCAGACGGGGTGCCGGCCACCTTGAACAAAGCCCTTTGGAGAACTTTTTCGGTGCAAAAGCTGAAGGTATGGGAAAACACAGCATATGCAGCTGAGGAGCCCCCCGGGCGCTGCAGGCCGCACACCCCCTTGGCCCCCGCGCGGCCGGCTGACTAGCCTGGGGCGCGCTTCTGCCAGCCGCCCAGGGCACCCCTCCGGGCCACCGGGCCCCGTCCGAGCGCTCGCCCGCCGGGCCGGGGACTCTAAGGCTTGGAGTCCCGGGAGCTTTAACACTTTACGCGATTTTGCAGTTGACCGAGAACTCTCAAGCCCCCCGCATTTTCCCTCGCGGGAAAGCCAGGTTACTGGCGGTGGAACCAAATGAGACGCCAGGTGTGAAAGGAACAGGCATATTTGGGGAGCGGCTCTAGGTGCCCCCCGTGTTGGGGGAATGAGGTGGATTTCTCCAGTCATTTCAAAACCGCACCTCCCGCCGGGTGGCCCAGGGAAATTCTAGAACAATCCTCGGGCGCCGAGAGGACGCCCCGGGCTGCAGAGGCCGCAGGGAGCCGGACACCGGCAAGGCTTGGCTGCCTGCCGGGGAGGCGGGCGCGGGAGCCGGCGGCGCACAGCATCCTCACCTGTCCGGGGCCGGCTCTCCTCAGGCCTGTTTCCGCGTGTGAGAAATGGGCTGACTACCAGCTCACCCTCTCACCGAGAGAAAGCGTCTGGGGTGTTCCGGTTCAGCGCCGCTACAGAAACCACTCGAGAAAACAGGAGTTTGTTTCGGTTTTAGCTCAAAGAAGGAAAAAAAAATGCAAGAAGCGAGCACCGTGCGCAGAAATGCTTGTCAAGGTTAGCGGGAAGCCGGCTGAGCGGACGGGCAGAGGAAGGGCGAATTGGCCAGGGCCTAGGCGGCCTGTGAAGGTAACTCTACACGTGTTCACGAAGATACGAAGATGCACGGTCCCTGTCAAAACCCGCGGATGCGTCGGGAGACCGAACTCAAGCGACGGCGACCGGGAGCAGCCTCCTCTGCGCCTGCGCAGTACCCGCGTTTTCCCCCCGCCCCGAGCTCGCGCACCGCCCCCGAGCTCTCTCCGCCCCGCCCACTTGCCCTCCCCCTCCCCAGCCCGGCCGCCCGCGCAGAGCATTGTGGGACACAAACAAAGTGCCCCCAAACAGGCTGGAGTGAGCGGAGCGGCAACCGCGGCGGCGCCGGCCCGCACGCGCGCGGCGGCGGCTCCCTCCCAACCCCCCGCCCCGCCGGGAAAACGCGAGCCGTCGCCTCGCTCCCCAAACCGCCGCCTGCCCTCGGCCAACCGCCCCCAACGGCCGCCCGCGCGCGGCTCGCCGGGGCCCCTCGCTCCTCCCCTCAGGCCCCCAGAGTGCTCCCCTCCCGCCGCCTCGCACTCTCCCACCTCGCAGGCACGCCGCTGCTCGGGGCCGCCATGCCCCTGCCGCAGGCTGTCCACGGGCCTAGGCGCGGCGGCCCGAGATAGGGTCTCCTCCGCCTCCCGGGGGAGGAGAGAGGGAGCGGGCCGCGCGCTCCGCCCCCTCCCCCCGGGCTGCCGCCGCCACCGCCGCCACCACCCCCTCGCCGCTTCAGCCTGGCGGGGAGGAGGAGGAGGAGGAGGAGGAGGAGGAGCAGCAGCAGCAGGCCTCCGGGCCCTGGCACCGCCGCCCGCAGGTAACGGGGAGGGGAGGGCAGGGCCGGCCCCTCTTCGCCGCCCGCGCCCTCGGGCGCGCCCTCCGAAGGGCTGACGCCGTGCGTCCCCCATCTGGGCGCTGGATGGAAGGGAACGCCTGGTCTCATCACCCCCTCCGCGCCGGGAGACACCCCGCAGGGTCCCCTCAATGGCATCTGAGCCTTCGGGAAGGAGACTGGCCTTGGGTCCCGCCGTCCAGGAGAAATTACCCCGATCTCCCAGGACGCCCCGCATCCTCACGCGCGTGTGCCCAGCACCCTAACCCCGAGGAGGCGGGGTGTTAGCGTCTCACCTGGTCGAGCCCGCAGCGCGAGACCCACTGTTCCCTCCTCTCCCTGCTGCTTTTTTCTCTGGTACTGGGAAGAAAAGGTTGGCACTTACTTAAAAAACAAAAAATGAAAACCTTTTTTTCTTTCCTATCTGGGGATCAGTCTGCATCTAGTCATTTTCTGCTGGCCTAACCAGAAAAGGGTTACCTGCGAGTGAAATGACGAGTACGTTAGAACTGATGAAAGAAAGCATGCTTGTGAGTTGTATGAAGGTTAACCAGAATTTAGAGTAAAGCCCAGTAAGTCTGCTTTATTGGGACTGACTTATAGAAATGAAGGCCAGAACTTACATTTTTTTCGACGTATAAGTAGATTTTCTGTTGGTTAGGAAGACATTCTCTTTAACTTCCACTTATTTTCTTACTGTTTTATTCGGATAAGCGGCTAATACCAAAAGCAGACTTCACAATTTGATAGATACCAGTTGTTTGGGTAGGCAGTTTTTTTTGCCTAGAGTGTTTCGGTCGGAATTATTGCATTTAAAAAAAATATTATGTAAATGTTCATTTATACAGTTACCCACATTACTTCACTTTCACTGCCAAAGGATATTTAATTTTACCTAATGTAGCTTCCTAATCATGGAATGTGGCAATAATGAAAGGAATGTTTTCCTGTAGTCTTGTATTTTAGGATGATTGCATTAATTATGAAAACCAGATTTACTTATTGTGTGCAACACTGCTAGGCATTTTACATATCTGATGTGCTTTTATTCTGAGAACAACCTAATGACTTAAGATATTATTACTTGAGTTTTACAGATGAGACAAACTCAAATGATATTAACTTGCTTTAGGCCACACAGCTAGTTAGTGATAGAGGTGAGATTTGTATCCAGATATAATTCCAGTATAGATGTGTTTTCTACCATTCCTCTCAGTACAGGTACACTTTTTAAAAACTTAATTATGAAAAATGTCAGTCTCTTTGAAATTGAGGGAAAAATGCAGTGAACACCCCAGTACCTAGATTCAGTGATTGACATTTTTGCCATTTCCCCACCTCCTCCTTTTCTGTGTGTCTCAGTATGTAATCATTTGAAAGTAAATTGTAAACCCCATGACACTCCAGTATTTCAGCATGGTTTTCTAAAACTAAGGACATTCTAACCCCAGTATCATTATCAACACCCTTCTAAATTAACAGTCCATATGCAAATTTCCTTAGTATGCCAAGGTCTCTTTTGGGAAATCTACCCCTGCCCCCAGCATTGCATTTGTTGATTACGCCTCTAGTCCTTTTTTTAAAAGAGGAGTACCCATCTTTTTTTATTCTGACAATTAACCAAACCACTTGCTTTATAAACTGCTCCCACTTCTGGGTTTGTCTGTTTCCTAATGGTGTCATTTAATTAATTCCTCTATCCCCCTGAATTTCCTGTTACTGGAAGTTAGGTCTAAAGAAAAGCTTGAGTAGCTTAAGGAAAACTTTATTTGGCAAGAATATTTAATAGATGATGCTGTGTACTTCATGTTATGCCATTTAGGAGGTATTTAATGTCAGATTGCCACACTGTTAAGGATACTAAATGTGACCGCTTGATCACAAGTGGTGACTACCAGATCTGTTATAAAGATGTGGTTTCCCTGTTTGTGATTTGTACGTGATCTTGGAGTAATTCCTTGACACCAAGCAAATACCTGTTTCTGCCTACCCTTTGCTCAGTGATTTTAGCACCCATTTGATAACTCTTGCTTAAATCAGTTATTTTATTGGAGATTTTCTGTCTGGAAGATTTCCTTCATTAACTAGGAGTGAACTAAACTTCCTCCTAAAAATGCTAATGTCCTCCCTCCAGTTATCAGTATTCAGAGTAAAGAATACTGGGGCGATAGTCACCCCCAACGGTGGCAAATAAGGGTTTTTTTTGTTTTTTTTTTTTAATGGGGATAACTGTAACTGAGCAGGGCCCCATGGGGCCTTCCCAGGACAGGCCTTCCCCCAGATCCTCTGCTGTGGCTCCTCTCTGAAGTACCTAGATAATAGTGTTTGATGCACATTTCCTGAGTTGTTTTGCAGATGTAAACCTTCCCCCCTCCAACAAATGGAAAATGTTAACTCCTTGGCGACCTTGAGCACAGAGCCCCAGGCCTCCTGTTGCCTAAGGACTGATAATGTTAACCCCTGTGACACCACCCTGCTGCCTCACCATCAGACAGTCGGAGAATTGTGCACAAGCTGATCACGTACCTCGCGACCTCCCTCCCTCACCTGGCTTTTAAAAGTAGTTCGCCGAAACCCTTCGGGGAGCTCGGGGCTTATTAGGGCAGGAGCCACCACATCTCCTTGCATGGCCCTGCAGTAAACCTTTCTCTGCTCCAGACTCCGACGTTTCAGTTTGTTTGGCCTCACTGTGTGTCAGGCACATGAACTTGCATTAACAGTTTCACTGTGGACTCATGGGTTTTAATTTATTCTTTTTTTTTTTAATAACCATTACAGTCTTTTTTCTTCTTGATGATCTAACTGTCCCAAATTTGGACAGCAGGAACCTTTTCAGGCTGTCTCCTGTGTCTTTTTAATGCTGGGAGTGCTTTCTGGCACAGGATATCCCAGGCTTGCCTTGTTACTTTCCTTGTTCCAGATCTGGAATGGGCTGTTAATCTAAGGAGTCTTGGTTCTTTTTAGTGAGAAATGGTGTATAGAAACCAAGATCTGGATGTTTGGCATATTCATTGCTGCTGGAGTGTCACTATTTCTAGGCCCTTTCAGAGGGGAGAACTAAAAATGGTTTTTTGCTTGTGAATCAAGTTCTTAGTGATATATCCAATTCAGATTTAACATAGCAGATTTTTCTTTAACTTCTTTGATTCTATATTGGTCTCTTTTGTCTTAAACAAAAATCTTGGTTCCTAATAAAATTAACATACTTGCCTTATCTTACTATGTATACTTAAAATCATTTCAAAATTATCATACCAATATCATTACTAACAAACTGAGTAAAGTTTAAGATTTCTTTGCATCTATTTTTGTCCTTAGAATATAATACATGAAGGCTGTATAATCAGAGTACTTACTGTGTTCAGAAGTCACTTGAAGTACTTTCCTCTGTTTCGTTATACTGCCAATTTGATATGGTTCATTGGTTTCCTTTTATTTTTATTTTATTTTATTTGTTTTTGCGGTACGCGGGCCTCTCACTGCTGCGGTCTCTACCGCCGCGGAGCACAGGCTGCGGATGTGCAGGCTCAGCAGCCATGGCTCACGGGCCCAGCCGCTCCGCAGCATGTGGGATCCTCCCGGACCGGGGCACGAACCCGCGTACCCGGCATCGGCAGGCGGACTCTCAACCACTGCACCACCAGGGAAGCCCTGGTTTCATTTTTTATCTTAAGGTTTTCTTTTTTAAACTTTATTATTTTTTTTTTCGGAAAGAAACAACTTTTTATTGAAGTGTAGTTGATTTACAGTGTTGTGTTAGTTTCACGTGTACAGCAAAGTGATTCAGATATACATACATTCTTTTTCAGGTTCTTTTCCTTTATAGGTTATTACAAGATACTGAATATAGTTCCCTGTGCCATACAGTAGGTCCTTGTTTATTTTATATTTAGTAATGTGTATCTGTTAATCCCAAACCCCTAATTTTTCATCCCCCCTTCCCCCTTTGGTAACCTTTGGTTAACCTTTGGTAAGTTTGTTTTCTTTGTGAGTCTGTATTTTGTAGATAAGTTAAGTTGTATCACTTTTTTAGATTCCACATATAAGTGATATCATGTGATATTTGTCTTTGACTTACTTCACTTAGTATGATAATCTCTAGGTCCGTATATGTTGCTGCAAATGGCATTATTGTTTTTTATGGCTGAGTAATATTCCAGTGTGTGGAGGGGGGTGTGTGTGTGTGTTTGTATACACACATACTACATCTCTTTATCCATTCATCTGTCAGTGGACATTTAGGTTGCTTCCATGTCCTGGCTATTGTAAACAGTGCTGCAGTGAACATTGTGGTCCATGACTCTTTTTGAATTATCGTTTTCTCAGGGTATATGCCCAGGAGTGGGATTGCAGGATCATATGTTAGCTCTATTTTTAGTTTTTTAAGGAACCTCTATACTGTTCTCCACAGTGGCTGCACTAGTTTATGTTCCCACCAACAGTGTAAAAGGGCTCCCTTTTAAACTTTTATGTTTGAGTATATAAAATATATACAAGGTTCAAAAGTCAAAATAATATTTTAAAAGTATGCTTAAAGAAGACTCACCCAAATTAGTTTTTAAGATGAAGTGTTCTTTAACTTCGTCAACCCTTTTAATAGCTAATCTCATAAATCTTGACTGCAGTGGGCAAAGTATGTTACTTATGTGAAGCGATATAGGAGTACTTTTAAATTTTGCAATTTGATTCCGATTCCTCTGGCAAAGAGAAAGCACTAGACTAATCTTCAGAGGTGAGCAGAGAAGTAGATTTCAAGCTTGTTTGTTTGTTCATTTATTTATTTACGGTATGCGGGCCTCTCACTGTTGTGGCCTCTCCCGTTGCGGACCACAGGCTCCGGACGCGCAGGCACAGTGGCCACGACTCACGGGCCCAGCCGCTCCACGGCATGTGGGATCCTCCTGGACCGGGGCACGAACCCGTGGCCTCTGCATCGGCAGGCGGACTCTCAACCACTGCGCCACCAGGGAAGCCCCTCAAGCTTG